GAGCGCCGGCCCCGGGAATGCGGCTATGAGGGGGCCCCACCCCCGGGCGCGCAAGGGGGGGCCCCGGCCCCGGGCGCCCGGTGGGCGAACGGCCACGCCCCCTGGCGCCCGGCAACCCCAAATGGTTGGGGACCACTGAGTTAAACCGAGCATTGAACCAGTTAACATTTTAAACATTAATTAACATCCCTACTTTAAAGACTGGCATCCTCAAACCAGGTCTGGATAAGAAATATAATAGATAATGCTTTTAAAGGGATAGACTTCTCCATTAAGCCTTACAGAGGCAATTGGCTTAATCAGTCATAATATATTTGAGCATTTGAAGCTGTGCCTTAAACACACAGCTGACAAAAACAGGCAAATTCCCGTCGCCAGCTAAAAATTGGCTGTACCTTGGTTCTATGTACTCTGTCCCTGGAAAGCCTGATAACTCAATAAAAAGGGGGAGGAATGAAAAGGAGAAGTGCTTCTGGGTGGTTTCCTTCTTTCCCTTATGTTGTGAGATTACCTGTTTTAAACCAGTGAGTAACTACCCTAGCCCCAGAGGCTATAATTTCTCCATCTTGAATACTGCTTCAAGTCTTTCCCTGGAACACAGACTCTCTTTATTTTAGTGTCCAGTCTAATCTTGCCCACAGATTTCATGATAGCAGGGTGGGGCTTAAGAACTTGAATCAGTGATCTAAGAATAAACCTATTCAAAGAAGCCATTGACTGCCTCCTCCTGACCTCTGTGGATCTTGTATTCAGAGATGTTCCACCTCTACTGGCTTGCAAGGGAGAGGAGGGAAGTTTTGGGACACACTTGTGAAAGAAAAAGACATATTTTCTACCCCTTTTCCTGGGAAATTGCTCAGGCCTCCAGAAATTGGCCAGTAAAAGTCTGTGCTCTTTGTTCTTGAAGGGAACTCCATGGGAAGAATCAAGGGGAATGAACTGAATTTAATCCCTTTCAGTAAGTGTTTTTATTTTGCTCTTCTTGTGACCCGACTTGTCTTGAGCAAACACCTGTCGAAGGAAGGATGCCCTGTCCCCATGTGAACTCACATGGCAAAGTACCATAACCACCCTGAGTAGGACAAAAACTTTGAACTCTAAAGCACAGTTATTCTGCAGTTGAAATAAGGGCTTCAGGTGAGCCTGCCTTGTCTATCTCATCATTTGTTTTATGTGGGCCCCATTGCTGAACTATCTGAACAGAAGTGTCTTGCAATGTGCCATAAAATAGTATGACAAGTCTGACTTATCCCATCCTAAGAAACCAGATGTTCTGAAGGGCAGGTGTTGTGTGCTTTGTTTTGTTTTAAAAACGTTTGTGGTTTAAAAAAAATAAAGGGTTTATCAAGTATATTATAAGGTGGAATATCAGGTCTGTTTTAGGGATGTAATAGTCCATTAACCAATTATCCGAAAAGCAAATGCTTACAGATTAATGCTATAGACTACACGCATTTCCCCCCCCCCCCCCTCCTCAGCAGCCCAGCTCAGTCCTGGCTTGTGAAGGGTCTGGGACCTACTCCTGCTATGGCTCTGCATTTAAAGTGTATTAAGCACTGGGAGGGCTGGGTAGTCTGGGTCATGCCAGGTCCGGGACCTCAGAAACCCCTAGATGGGGGCTACTTCCATCCTGCGCTGCAGCCTCTGATACAGAGGCAGCAGCATGGGGCAACAGGTAGCCAGTCCGCAAGCTGGTTTTTAAATTGGCTCCTCTCGCAGACTAGCTCCCACCTGGCACCTCATGCTGTTCCTTGGGAGTGAGTCCGGAAGCACACTGGCTGCCAGCCCTGCCCCCGGGGACTATAAAATAGTCAACTAACCAATAAGAATTCATGAGGTTATTTGACTATTCAATTAACTGATATGTAACATCCCTAGTCTGTCTTGCAGTTCTAAAAACCTGCTTAATTACTTTAATTCAGTTGAGACATCTGGATTTTAAATCTTTTTTTTCTCCCTACTTAACCCATAAAATGAATTGCTCAGAGGAGGGGCAATAAGGAGATAGGGGATAGGATATGGAGGAACTGTTGTTTGGCCACTGATGATGGAGAACAAGTGCATCTACATGACATTCAAGCCTGGGTCCCATTCAAAGTCAATGGGATTTAAGTGCTTTTGACACTTTGGTGCTTTTGAAAATTTTACCTGGGACTCGTATGTTTGTAAAGTTTATAAAAGACCTAAATGGAAGTTGCTCATCCTTGCAAACCCTGTGAGCTCTGAAGCCAGCTCTGCTTTTTGTGTAGTATTTTCTAGTTTCCCATCTAAAATGCTGTAATTTTCTTATTTTGAAAGGTGATGAATGAAGATGACTTTATTAAGAAACTGGACTGCAAACCTGACCAACACCTGAAGGTGGTGTCCATCTTTGGGAACACTGGGGATGGCAAGTCGCACACCCTTAATCATACTTTCTTCTATGGCCGTGAGGTCTTTAAGACATCTCCAGCCCAAGAATCCTGCACAGTCGGTGTATGGGCCGCCTATGACCCTGTCCACAAAGTGGTGGTAATTGACACAGAAGGTCTGCTAGGGGCCACAGTGAATGTGAGCCAGAGAACACGGCTGCTTCTGAAGGTGCTGGCCATCTCTGACCTTGTCATTTATCGTACTCGTGCTGACAGACTCCACAATGATCTCTTCAAATTCCTTGGGGATGCTTCAGAGGCCTACCTGAAACATTTCACTAAGGAGCTGAAGGCAACCACGGCCCGCTGTGGCTTGGATGTTCCCTTGTCCACTCTGGGTCCTGCAGTCATTATCTTCCATGAGACTGTATACACCAAGCTACTGGGCTCCGGTGAGTAGAGAGAAAGAGACAGTAAATCAAAATATAGCTAAGTGTTATCTTAATTGGGCTGCCATGTGGAAGACCTGGATTAGAGTCCTGGTCTGGCTCTCTTTTCAGGCTGGCATAGGATCTGTAGAGGTAGTATGCTATGTTCTAATGGTGGTATGAGGGATTTACATCAGAGTAGCAACTCAGTTAGCCAGTTAAGGATCAACACTGATTAGTCCTAACGAGAGTCTCCTGTGATCCTCCTCAACATAGGACAGTGAGTGTGTGGAGGGGCCCTAATAATATAACGGGGATGCACAGGGTCCTATCACAAAAATAAATGAAAATACATCATGCTACAGAACTAAATGGGTAAGAAGTATGAAGCGGACTTGTTTTTAAACCTGAACTCTCCCTTTGGCATTTCTGGGGATTGGTGCCGTTCCTAAGGCAGGCATGAATTCTGAGAAACACAGACTTCAGAGTGTGATAGCTGGTGCGTTGGCCCTGCTTCTTCCTGTGGTTGTTGCTCAAAATATGCAATATTGCTGGTAGGGTTTCCCACCATGCACTACAGGGTATGAGCACCACTATGCTTTCATTTCTCACCCCATCTCCATTTCCTTCTTCAGCATTTTACCTGGGATCTTTGCATGCCAGAGACATATGATTTGTTTACACATCTGTGGGAGAAATCCTAGCTCCATTGAAGTCTGGGCATTTTGTGATTGACTTGAAAGGGACCAAGAATTCACTTACTCTATCATAGTGTTTGCTAACCCCTGTGTTGGCTTTGCCCACCCCTACCATGCTCTAATATCTTGAGGGGGAGCCTGGGTCAATGCATCTGTTACATCAGTGCAGATGAGGTTTAGCTTTGCTTATGTGCATCCAGAAGTGCCCTACTGTGCAAGATCACAACAACTCCCTGCAGGCCCACAGTATTGTTGCTGGCTTCTTCAGTCTGGGTGTTTGCTGACCACAAGGCACTCAGCAAATAGAAAAGCCATGGAACTAAGTAAAGCACCTCCCTAAAGTTATTTTTCAGAATAACAAAGTGGCAATGTAAAAATGGCACCACCTTCTCACTTTTGTAAATGTAGAACAAATAAAGAACCAGGATTTCACACAGCATGTAATTAGCTGCTGGAATTTGCTGCCTCAGGGAGTCTGAGTCAAATGCTGTAGCTGATTAATTTTATAACCAGTAATGACAGTTGTAGTTTTATGCATAAAGTGAGGATGTCAAGAGGCGGGTAACTGACTAATCGTGTATGCGATACAATTTGTATCGCGTACACGATTGGTTAACAAAGGGGCCCCGCTGCAGCTCTGCAGTTTAAATGTAGTAGGAGCCGGGTGCGCTGGCAGCCTTGCTCCTACTGCATTTAAACTTCAGAGCCGCAGAGGGGGTAAGTCCAGGACCCGGTGTGAGCCAGGACTCAGCAGTTCTGGCTCTGCCTTATACATGTAGTAAGAGCCAGGTGGCTCTTACTACATTTAAAAGACAGAGTCATAGCGTGGGTGGTTCCCGGTGCCGGTGTGAGGCTCATGCCAGCTCTGGGACCACTGTGGTTCTGCCTCCGTGCCTCCTCCCCCTGCCCTCCCCAGCACTGCAGATATTGTGCTGGGGGGAATTGGATTTTAGGCTGGCTCTCCCCAGCACTGACTTCTACTTCCCTATCCCCTTTGCTGCCTCAGATACAGAGGCAACAAGTGGGGAGGAGCAAGAAGTCAAGTAGTCGATAAGCTTAGGCCTATCGGGTAGTCGGCTACTTGAGTAGTCGTTTACATCCTTAGCACAAAGGCAAAGTAGTAAAAACACATACTTCAGAGCATCAGCTGATTTCTGTGGAAGCCAGAAAGGAATCTCTCTCCCCCTCCCCCCTCATATGGAGCAAAACACAGTAGTTCAGCTTGATGTTGAGATGTGATTTTTTTTTTTTTTTTTAAGGGTTGGGATTTGCTTTCCTGTCAAGCATATACTTTATACCATTGTTGGAAACAGGCTCCAGGAGTTGGCAGGCTGTTAGTGTGACTTGAAATGGCTAACTCTATGTTGCTGTGTTTTCTAGGCAGGGTGGATTGATTTAAGTCAAGGCAATTTAAATCATCCCCGCAAAAAAATCATTGATTTAAATCAAGTTACCAAAAAAGCTAAGATTGACTATGCTTTGAATGCACTTAATTTTGGAATAAGCCCCATTGAACTGACTGACACTTCCACTTTTTTGAGAAAACAAGTATAGAATGGGGTTCCCTTGGAAAAACTGAGTTATGCTGAAGTAAAATAGGGAATAGACTTGTGGCATCACCATCATGGTCTGTGACCATGATGCCCCAAAATAAGGGACATGTATTATGTAATAGAAAATAAGAAAATGACATTCAGGCAACTCCTAGATTTCTCTCACTGCAGCTTTCTCTACTGCATACTTGAGTGACAGATTCTAAACCCAGTTCACTAATTAAACAAGCCATAAATATTAGCTAAGCTAAACTTTTTTTCTAGAAATATCCAGTGCAGCAAACAGCTTGGGAATTTACTTGTTAAAACACTTATAGTAAAGGGCATAGAGAGAGTCTTCAAGAATGATGCACCGCAAAGTGAATTATTTAAGTTACTAACTACGGGTACGTCTAGACTACATGCCTCTGTCGCCAGAGGCATGTAGATTAGGCTACCAGACATAGTAAAATGAAGCGGCGATTTAAATAATCGCCGCTTCATTTAAATTTACATGGCTGTCGCGCTGAGCTGACAAACAGCTGGGATGAGGTATACCTGGGTGGTCGACAAATACCTTTGATGTCGCCACCCGCGCGTCCAGACTATCGCGCTGAGCCGACAAACAGCTGATCAGCTGTTTGTCGTCTCAGCGCGATAGTCTGGACGCGCAGGTGGCGACATCAAAGGTATTTGTCGACCACCCAGATATGCCTCCTGGCATGAGGTTTACCTGGGTGGTCGACAAATACCTTTGATGTCGTCACCCGCGCGTCCAGACTGATAAACAGCTGATCAGCTCAGCGCGGCAGCCATGTAAATTTAAATGAAGCGGCGATTATTTAAATCGCCGCTTCATTTTCCTATGTCTGGTAGCCTAATCTACATGCCTCTGGCAACAGAGGCATGTAGTCTAGACGTACCCTACTAGTTGATCCACTCAGCCATATCCACATCTTCTTCTACCTCATTTTCTTCCAATAAGCAATTTTCCTTACAATGTTTCATTCTTGCAACTAAGCCCTGCATCATCTTCTTGCACTGCTTACACTTGACATGATTTTGTTTTCTTTTTTAACCCGGAGAACTAATTTTTACAAAATATTCCCAGACAGGGTCTCTCTGGGCCCTCAGAATTCATGACAGTTTTTCTGGAATATAGGAGGCTGTGTGTGCGCTGAACAATGTCTTCCCTTTTTCTTTTTCTTTTCTGTCCACTTCACTGTTCCTTTCTTTGTTGCCTCTGTTCTTTCCTATATATCAAGGATGGAGAACCGCAGGCCCGGGGACTGAATGTGGCCCCCGGCTTGCCTGGATCTGTCTTTGGACTCCCCTCCCACCCCAGTATTGGGGAGCCTGTGCTGGTGCTTCAGCCCCCAACCCAGTCTCATCTTGCAGTTGGAGCACACATAATCTCCTAGCCTGGCCCCTCTAGGCTCTGGTATGCCAGGGGAATATAGGGAGTGTCTTTCTCAGTCAGGGGTCACATCAGTGAGGGTTTGTTTTGGTTTTTTTGGTTTTTAGTTGTGTGCGACCCCCTGCTGATTTTTCTGAGTCAGTGGCCTGACCCAAAAAAGGTTCCCCCCCCCCACTATATACTGTCTCTCTGTCTTTAAGACAATGTCATAACTAATTCCTCTGCCGTGCTCCACCATCACATAAGCACAGAACAAAAACAACACCATCCAGCCTGTATCTATTTTTGTGCCTGTTACCTTTTAGTCTGCTGAGAAAAAGAAACTGGAAGCCCAGAACCTTCAAGAAGAAAGAGCTAATAGTTTGGCTGGATAGACTAGAGCCATTTAATCATTTTATGAGACTGTAAATGTAGGTGTGGCATATTTGTGATGAAATTTAATTGTAACTCTTGTTTTTAAATGAGAAACTTAGTATTTTATTGATGATTTAAATAAACTAAAAAATCCAAATTAAATTAAAAAATCCATCTTTAATTTAAAAAAAATCATTGATTTTTATGTACCCTGTTATTAGGGGAAGGAAGATATAGACATTCCTTTTCCCGCCATAGGGTCTGCATGTAGAATACACATATAAGGAGTGATGTGAATAATGGCACTGTTATAGTGAGGCCAAATGGCTTGGAGCCAGGAACTGCTGACCTCTAACACACTGTATCTTAAAGTTTGTTCATTTAGTGCCAGATATTCCAAACTGGCCTCTAATTTTGAATGCCCATTTTAGGACCAATAAGCCCAGATTTTCAGAGATGCTCACCACCCACAATTCCTCCTATTTAGTTAGAGCTGTTCTCAGCATCTCTGCATGTCAGTTGTAGGAGCTAACACTATATCCAAAATTAGAGACCATTTTTCAAAATGTTTTGCTTTGCCTGTGTGTAGAATGGGGAATACTTGTGTATCTGCAGCACAGAAGGGTGGTAAGGAGTAATTAGGAATGTGAGTATTGTATAGCACTTCACATTGTTAAAGCACTGCCTGATTGTCAAATAGTATTATGCTAAACCAGCAGTTGTTAATACACCTGCTACTGCTTTTGCATGGGTGTAGATCACCCCTCTGAGGCGCCTGAAAAACTCATCCAGGATCGTTTTCGGAAACTGAGCCGCTTCCCCGAAGCCTTCAGCTCAATCCACTACAAGGGAACAAGGACTTATAACCCCCCCACGGACTTCTCGGGACTTAGGAGAGCTGTGGAGCACCAGCTGGAGAACAATACCACTCGTTCCCCTCGACAGCCTGGGGTTATCTTCAAAGCACTGAAAGTAAGTCATTTGCTGCAGAGTGTGTGGCTTCCTTACAGTTGGGGAGAGGCACGGAGGGTTCTTTTTCATGTCTGTAGCACCATTCCCAAGTATCATGTACTTAATAATGTTCCACAAAAAGCTCTAATGTAGAATTGCAGATATCTGGAGAAAAGGCAAGTCTTCAGTATCTCATATACTCCTGTAACAGTTGAATGGACTGGATGGATCTCTCCTGGGGGAAGACAGCAGGAGAGGGAAGGAAGTAAAGAAGAACTGATGGAGACCCTTTGAAAAATCAGGTGGAAAGGTTAAAGGAGAATTAGAAAAGCAAAATCTCT